AGCAATCGCCCCTCTCGTTTCTCTCGCCCAGTCCGTATTTCCCCACTATGCGTCGTAGATGGTTGTCGTCTTCGGTTCTCCCAATTTTTGCGTTGAAATCCCCAATAGGCTTAATCCACTCTAATTTTTTAATACATATATGTTATTCGAAACGCTGTCCTCCCTCTTGCCTTTAGGATATTAATATTTAAAATAACATTATTTTTATCTTGAATAATATTTTGGACATAACACTGAAAACATTTTTATTTTAAATATAGTTTTTAAAATATAATGTCTATAAAATGTTTTAATATCTAAAATAATTTTAAAAAATTTAACTTTTTGTACCTTTTCATATGAAAAAATATATTGCATTAAAATTGCTGTAAAACAATAGGGAATTTTATTTTTCATTCCAAATGTATTTATAACTTTCTATATAACAGTTTATGATAATAAATTATAATTGTTACGAAAAGACAGTTTTACATGTAGCAGTATCTGCATCTGCATCAATTCCAATATCAATATAAGTTATCATATATTTCGACATTTTTTGTAATGTAAAGTACATTTATATATATACATCTGTTAAATATTAATAAATATATTTATTATAAATATTTAAATTATTTAATCTTACTATATTAACCCTAGACTACCACAGTTCAACAATCGGTCTAGTTCACTCGGTAAAAAAAAAATGTTTTTTAAAGTGGAGCCATATAAGGTATTTTTCTTTTGAAAATTTCACTCACGTTCTTTTCGAAACTATGCTTTACTTTTTTTTATTCGCTTCTGAAAAGAAATGCGATGTAAAACAAAAATCAGCCTTTTTCGGGAAATATATAAAAGCTGATTTACATTTTTGCAAATTGTTCATGTCCTTAAGATCTTTGAGTGTTACTATCCATTCAGTCACCTTTCTTTCTGTCTGGCGTATCCATTAATAAAAAATCCGTGTTATGTTAAAGTTGTGGCTAAGTCGAATTCATTGTTGTCTCTTTTCCGCGATGGCAATTGGTTGTTCTAAGCTCGATTATGTTACGTTCGACTTCCGTGTCATGTCATATTGGCGCACGCGTAGCGTGCGCATGTTTTGTCTAGTCCATTAATAAAAAATCCGTGTTATGTTCAAGTTGTGGCTGAGTCGAATTCATTGTTGCCTTTTTTCCGCGATGCCAATTGGTTGTTCTAAGCTCGATTGTGTCACGTTCGACTTCCGTGTCGTATTGGCGCGCGCGTAGCACGCGCATGTTTTGTCTAATCCTCCTATCTAAAAAAAGTGCATGTAAAGTCGATAACTCGCATTTCACGAAATTATTTGTTGTCGCTTTTCCGCGATGCTGATTGGTTGTTTCGATGCGCTTACTTTGTGTAAGCGGCTGTGACATTGCATTTTGACAATTGTGTATTGAGGTTGATGTAATTGTAAATTATAGTAAGAAGTGTTAAATAGCGCGCGCGGAGCGCGTGTTTGTAGTGCTAGTAGATTAAAAAAAAAGTTCTAAATCGATGCGTTTGGACTAAAATTATGCAACAAAATAAAGAGGCCGGGTAAATTTTACCCAGTCTAGAGTTAATAACGTGTTTAAAAACAGGCTGTTAGAAGTCGGCACAGTAAATGGTGCGCAAATACATATGTCAATGGCTTGTTTTACCATAAATATAATTCACTTAAGAGGATGCTGAAAGGTTGGCCAAATTTGTACAAGGTCGATAAAGCAGACTCTTCAGTGTCAGTAGTATCTCTAAATGAACTTCTTACAATCTTCTGGTCTCACTCAAACACGTGGAATGTCCTTATCTAACTTATTGAAATGCCATCTCTTGGAAAATCCGGCACTTACTGCCAGACGCAATTTTTGCTGTCTTTATATTAGCCGAACGTACGAATTACCACAAATT